AATTGTAAAATATTCATGTTTACACTATATCAATTTTTTTAAATAAATAGATTTAGAAATAATTTCATATATCAATTTAAAATGTACTTAGGAGAGCCAGGCATGGTAGTATATAGCTTGAAACCCCAGTATGTAAAAAAATTAAGGCAGGGAGACTGTAAATTCAACAAAGAGCCTGGGTTATAAGACCTGTCTTTAAAATATTACTTTAGCCAGTATATAAAAGAGTGACTATTGCCCCTTCTAGTTTAAACACTGAGATCTATTTGAATTATGGCTACTTGGAGAAGTTAGCAGTCAACAGGCCTGTTTCTGCTTCTATAATACTCACCTTATTTTTTTGTAGGAGCTCTGGTATCAATTATATATATTGTCATCTCCCCCCAACCCCCACACTCCCCTCCTGAGACCTGAATGGGTCAGAACAATATCTCAATCAGCTTGTGCCCAAAGCTTTAGTTCAAGACCTGTTCTATTGCCATCTCAAATTATGTTCTTCTAGCTTGTCCATAATAATCATTCTTGAAAAAAAAAATCCCCAAAACTTGGGTAACTGTCAAAACTTGTACCCAATTTGACTTTATGCCTCTCTCAATATGAAGTTTGCCAAGAGAAATTAGAGATCAAAGTACTTTTTTTTCTAAATTACAGCTCAAACTAATCCATACTAACTTGGGTTAAAGTCCAAAATTATCACATCCAACATTGAACTCTCTGACCACTGTGAATTAAAGTTCAAACATTGGGTCTTGTTGGTCTCTGGAAGTGAACTTAGCTCCCAATTCAGAAGCTTTCCTCCCCACAGGGATCTCAGTAAGGTTCCAGGGGTGTTCTCCAGCAGGAGCAGTCCCCTATCAGACTTGAGGTATGTGGCAGCTGAAAAAGAAATATACATTTCTGACTCCCAAGAGGGAAGAGAAAGGAAAGGAGGATGGTATGATATATGAATCCCAAGCTCATTCATCTGGAAATTCACTGGCCACCTTTTCTTCTCTGTATGTCAGGAACTGTCTTCAACAATAAAGTAATGTTTTCCCCAAAATAGAGGAAAGAATTCCAAGAAACAGATTCTCAAATTTAAGAAATCTTTATTAAGTATCATGGTGAAAATGTGTGAGCTGGATGCTGCCTAATCCCCAACCACTGTAATGCTTAACACATCATATGTGTCAGCACATTGTACTTTAGACTGTTATATCAATGCCCTGTTTCTGTTACCAGTCTTTGATCAGTCCACCAAAGTTAATAGCACAACCTCAACTATCTGTGAGTTGAAATAGTAGAGATGTGTTTCTCATTTGTATGAGGCCACGGGTTAGCTAGCAGCTCTTTTCTGCCTCATCCTGACTCTAGGACTCTGAATGATGGAAATCGGCCATCATTTGAAATAGAATTGGAGACCACCACATCTCCCTCCTCACTGACACTTGTTTTCCACTCATTTTACAAGTCATCTAGGCCTATCACTACTTTCACCAACGGAAATGTGTTGTTTACAACTTAAGACTTAGAAAGACCTAGAAGGTTTCTGCCCTTTGCTTTACAAGTTCTGAGCAGGCTATTCTTCTGGAGAAGCCATGTGAAGAAACCTCAAAGCAAGATTAGACAATGCCCCGTCAATTGTCAACTCAAAACCATGAAAGAAAATAAAAGCTGCCAGGCTGTTTGACATTAAGTGGTAGCTATGGGACAATAGTTTTTTTTTTTTTAATTGTCTCCTGGCAAAAGAAGAAAGTACTGGCAAGGTGCACAGGTGCTCCAGGCTTTTCTTTGGAAGCGACACAAATAATTTCTGGTGTGGCTAGTACTAGTATCTTCTGGAGAGAACTTAGAGCAACAGAGATGCATCTCCCAGAGATAACTGATAAATCAAAGTACATGCAGCGCTAAGGAAATAAAGTTATGGGCAAGGAAGAAAAAAAGAAAAGAATCAGAAAAGGCACATCAACAATGCACAAGGAGGAATCTTGGAATCCAAAGAATTTCAATAATGTAATAATGTGACACAAATCTGTAAGCCCAGCACTAGGGAAGATGAGACAGGAGAATCAAGAGCTGGAGGGCCAACTTTAGCTACATACACGAGTGCATGTCTTGGCCACACAGTGAGATCTTGCTTCAAATAAAAATACAACAGTCAAGAAAGAAAGGCTAAAAGGGTGATATAAGAAAGAGATCCATAGACATTCAAAGAAATAAATCAAACAGGCCTCAGACAGGAAGGGAAAAGGAAAGTAATATTGGACAGGTAGAGACTTAAGGAGGCCATTCAGTGATGAAGTAGTGTGAGCAGTCTTGGAGTGGGTGACAAGCACAACAAGTGGGGGCTGCGGGACAAGTCATTAGAGGAAAAAGCGGATCACTTTAAGAGAGGACGTCTCAGAGATTAGTTTATCTAGGAAAAGACAAGGGGCCGCATAGGGATTTATGGAAATCTCTGAATGCAAACAGCTTGTCTGAACTGCTGAGTTCCCTACTCCTGGACCAAGATTGATGTCTGATTAAAGGAAAGTAAAATACAAGATGAGTCCCTTCATGTAGCAATGAAGTTGGGACAGCACTAGTTGGAAAGTTACTGAGGTGTTCAAGGTGGGAATACTCTGCTAGACGAGATTATGATGACAGTGCAAAAAAAAAAAAAAAGAACTCCTTTGGACTAGTTCAGGGGGCTGATCTTAAGGGTAACCTACTCAGAGGACTCGAGTCAGAGTAGGGTTTCTAATGTGAAGTCAAGACATTTATTTTAGGAAGGGCATGAAATTTTTTGCTTCTCCAGACAGTATTAACTATCCAACATTTGCCATCCCATGTAAGAGGCAACAGAAATACAATGCTTTTCCATTCTTCTCTTCTAAACCACTTAAGTGAAGCAAAGCTAAATATCCCATAATTCAGCTCAGAGTTAAGCCTGGCCATCTGTACCAGTGATTGGCACCACCCTCCTAAGAAGTATGCACTAACAAGGAAGAGGTTTTTCCATGTCATAATGCCTTGGGTGACCAGTCATGGCCCCATGTCCAGTACAGTCTTCCCTAAGAACGCCCCAAAACCATGTAACAAAAGGCAATCTCACTATATGTTAATGCTTTAGGGAGAGCTAGTCACCTAATTCTGAACAGGAAGGTATGAGTGGCCTCCTATGAAGCCTCTGGGATCCTTTCTTCCTACTGTCATTATTTCAACTGTACAGACACTTGAGATTACTATCACCTTTCTTTCCCAAAACTAGTTTCTTCCCAATCTTTTTCCGTCACTGACATCTCCATTTTCTGTTAGGGAGTCTCACAAGAACTGTGACTTCTAACCCTTCTGGTGACTACTAAGGGTGGCCCGTGCCAATCTGGTTTTACTCCTGCTTTTGCAGGGTAAATATTATACAGTCATTTACTAATTCCCAATCAAAGACAACAGCTTTAACTCAAAAAAATATTCTCAGACTGGGGTTGGCAAACTATGGCTTACAGGCTGTTTCTGTACCTACTTAGGGGCTGAATCGCCTTTAATGTTAAGTGATTTAAAAATGAGGATGATGGGCAGGGGAATGTAGCCCAGTTGGTTATGAGTGCTTGCTGGCAAGAGGTAGATCAGAACCTCATGGTCCTCCTCATCTACATACCAAGTTCAAAGCCAGTCTGGAACACGAGACCGGCTCAAATACAAAAGGACGGTATTTCATGACAACAAATTCAATTTCAGTGTCTCTAAGAACATTTTTAATTGGAACACTACCATGCTCACAGTATTAACTGTTAGTTAAGAAGTTGGGACAGAGAGACCTTCTGGCCCACAGCACCTAAATATATAATCCATTACAGAAAAAATTTTAACTCCCCCCCCACCGTGCGCACTAAAGCCACGATTAGAATCTTATGTACAATGGCTGGTTTCTCATCCCACTCATTTCTTCAAGTGCTAAAACCTCTCTAGGGAAGTTATTATTACCAGTATGGTTAGTGGGTAGTGCTCTCCTATCCACTGACACTAAAGACAGTTACCTAAAAACTTAGAGCAGGCAGAAAAGCCCAGATCTACTTTTCTAGACTGCTCACGCCGAAGCCTGAGTCACCTCCTTTGTGCTGGGTAGCTCACCCCTAGGCTGCCACAGTTCGTCTATACCTGTGGCCCACCTTCGGTTGTTCAAAGTTACAAGGAACTGGCCATCCCCTGGATGCACCTTCCTTCCTTGGTATGTAGAAGCAGAGCGACAGAAGCCTGTTAAACTAGCAGAGGGCGCGAGATGGGTGGAATTCACACTGGAAGGCCATGGTTCCCGCAGGCCCCAGGGCAGGGCTATAGAGCGAGAGCCACAGGCTACATTTTCCGCGCACGCCCACCGCGGGGGTGCAAGGCGCAGGAGAGCTTGCGCCCGACCCGGTTAGGGGCACTGTCCCAGAGCAGCGTGGGCCTGGATCTGAGGCGGTAGGCGCAGCTGGGACGGGAGCCCGGAGCCCGCAGCCCGGCTTCCCACGCAGCCCCACAGCTCCAGCCCCAGTGCGGCCTCCGCCGTGCGTCGTCACAGACGCGAACCTGCCGTCTATGAGAGAAGCAGCTGCTGAGCGCACGCGCGCGCGCGCGCGCGTAGCAGGGAGGGGTTGCTGAAGAGAGTCCAGCGCGTGGCGTCCCAGGGCCCGCGCACGCGCCATGACGGCTTTCCGCCCATACGCGCGAGTACGCACGCGCGCAGCAGGCTCTGGTTTCCCCCGCCCACTTTATTTTTCTACGGCCCCGCCCCTCCCTTACACTCCTTAGGCTGAAGCGTTGGGGCTCTGAGAGCAGGGAAGTGTGGGGCGAGGTGGGCGGGGCATCGCCCGCGCGCGCTGCCAGCCAGAGCTGGAGCTGCGAGAGCGAAGCCAGACAACGTTACCCAGCCAACAGCCAATAAGCAGCCGGCGTTGCCACGCCCCAGCCACTCACGTGATTGGCTGAGCACCGCCTGGTGGGCTGGGCCGCGGGTTTGGGGAGGGCAGGGGGCGGGAGGAGGAAGGCGCTGGCGGGCAGTGATGGCGGCGGGTGATGGGGACGTAAAGCTAAGCACCCTGGGGAGCGGCGGGGAGCGTGGCGGCGACGAGAGCCCGGGTGGTGCGGGAGCGACGGCGGCGAGGAGCAGTTGGGTGGCGGCGCTACTGGCGACGGGCGGGGAGATGCTGCTGAACGTGGCGCTGGTGGCGCTGGTGCTGCTGGGGGCCTACCGGCTGTGGGTGCGCTGGGGGCGGCGTGGTCTGTGCTCGGGACCCGGGGCGGGCGAGGAGAGCCCGGCCGCCACGCTGCCGCGCATGAAGAAGCGGGACTTCAGTCTGGAACAGCTGCGCCAGTACGACGGGGCGCGCACGCCGCGCATCCTGCTCGCGGTCAATGGGAAAGTCTTCGACGTGACCAAAGGCAGCAAGTTCTACGGCCCCGGTGAGGAGTGAGGGGTGTCGGGGGGCCCCGGGACACCCTATCCCCGCCACGGCCCCGCACCTTGACGGCAGCCCCGCGCACGCCCCCAGCTGCGGGCGTCATGGGGGGGGCTCAGTGGCGCCCCACAAACCTGCGCTCGGCGTTCCTGCTCTTCCCAACCCGTGACTCCTCGCAGCTTTTCCTGGGGCTGAAATTCTCAAAATTGTTAAGAGTTGTCTCTAGTCACGTTGGCTTTCAACCTTTCTTCGGAGCTTTTTGATATCTGGGCTTTGTCGGGGCCAGAGGGCTAAAGTGGCGACGCAAAGTTTTTGGCCCTGTGTAAGACAGCTTTCTTTTTATTCTGGCTTCTCTGTTTGACACTTACTTGCTTTTCCCTTCTCGGGATTTTTCTGCCTAGAGTCAGGGTTAGGGACACGTAGTTTCAAGTCCCAACCCTGGAGCTCGGTTTCAGAACCACCCCGGACTCGTTTTCATTTTTTTTCTAAAAAGTCAGTTTTGACTCCAAGATGCTTTCCAAGATTAACAACTGTATGTAAGATGAGGACGAACCAGAATGTAAACCTTAATAAGTAAGACTGGCAAAGATACTGGCCCGGAGTTTAGGGGGTGGAGCTCATGTGCCCAGGAGGCAGGCGTGTCTGTGTCTCCGACACTCTCAGTCTTTCCCTCCTTCCCTCCTCTCCTCCTTTCTCTGCTAATAGTAAGATAAATATTCAAATACCCGTTGAAAATGAGTTATTGTATTTTTCCCGAGCAGAATGGGGCGCCCGGGTGTTGGGGTGGGGCACGAACCTAGAAGAGTAAAATAAAACTACTCACCCCCTGCCATGCACTGGTTCTTCAAGTTGAAGGTTTTACAACTTTTCTTTCAGCAAATTATGTGGAAGGTAGTTGCTGTAGAGGCCCTTTTGCAGTATAGTGGTAATCTATATTTCAGATTATGCAAATAAACTTCAGACCCGGGGTATCTGTTGGTAGCCTATAAAATTGAACAACATTGTGCATTCTGGTTATGCAGTGCTTAATATTAAACTTTAAAGACAGGAGGAGGAGGAGAGGAGAGGAGAGAGCGTGGTGGAGTTATAAGAATAAAGCTAGAGACCAAAGTGACCCATTACTGGAAGGAGTACATCCAACTTTAAGCATGATTTCCTTTTCATTTTGTTAGTGTATGTGATTTTTTAACACTGAATATGCTTCTGATTTCTATGCTTAGTTGGATGCTATTTTAGGTTTTGGTTTGTTGGTTGGATTAGAGGTAAGAAACATAAAGCATTTGATGTTGAATCTGTTAATCTCTTTTCGTGCGCGCGCCCGTGTGTGTGTGTGTGTGTGTGTGTGTGTGTGTGTGTGTGTGTATTTCCTTCTGGATATACAAACATGTCTCCTTACTTACATCAGCTTCAATGGTTAATACTTTTTATTTTTAATTTAAGAGCATGTGGGACAAGAGAATAGGACCAAAGTATCTTGTTTACACAGACCAAGCCAAATAAACTTTTTAAAGTGAAGAATTTACACAGATTTGTACCTAGTTACACACTTCCCCCCATTGGCATTGAAGTGTGTTCAGTGGTTAAAGATTGTCTAGAGTATTTGTAAAAAGACACATTATCAGCCCTTATACATCAGGAATGAGTCAGTTTGGCAGCCTCCAGTGGCAACTGTGGCAGAAGTTGAGAACTAAGAGGTGATGTAGAGTGGGTCCCTGGACTTGAGCACTGAAAGCATTCCTCCCATAATAATGAAGAACCACCCTGGGCGTGGTAGTGCAGGCATTTAAGCTTGCAGCCTGGGGGTGAGGCAAGTGGACCTCTGTGAGTTCCAGCCTATTTGGGGCTGCATAGTGAGACCCTGTCTGAAAACAAAAAGAATAGAGAACCACCTCCTTGTTCTGATGCATAGTTATTGTAAACAATCTAATAAGACTGTCTGGAAGGCTTTATTATTGAGAAGAACTTAAATGAAGCCAGAACATCTTGCAATCTTACTTTTTTTTTTGGCATGGATAGGAAGTGTTGAGGTACTTTCCAGGAGTCTTGATACCATATTTTTTGGCTAGGATATAAATGTAAAATTAAATTTTGCCATTAACTTTCATTTTATTCTCAAATAAATGAAATAATTTTGTAGTGTTATAATTCAGCCCGTAGTTTTCCTTAGTTGAGAATCTTAGTAATTTGAAAAACTCAGCCTAGAGCTACCAAGCTTATTGTTATGTCCAACTACTATGTATTCCCATTTTGCAATGATGTTTTAGGGTTAAGGATTGTTCGGTGAGGTTTTTTTTTCCTTCCATAATCCTGGACACATTCTCTTACAGCTGTGTATCTTTAAAGTTCCACTTCTTAAAAATAAAATAAAATGACAATATTTCAAATGTAGTTGATTGCCAACTGTTTGCCAGAACGCGTTGACTTTGTTGTTAGTGTTGTATTTCTATATACTTTAATAGTCAGGTACTTGGCCAGCTTGGAAAAAAAGTGTGATCAGGTAGGAAACTGTGTTCCTAAGCATCTAGTGATCCAGTGAATGGATTGGATCATGCATTTATCATTTCTGCAGTTCTCTTGTGAAGTTGCAAAGTATTTGCCTTACAGATGAGTCTGAGGTTTAAGTAAGCTGGTTTGGATCACATAAATAAATCTGAGAAATCCAGATATGTTTGACCACAAAGTTTATATACTTTGTGGTAGACAGCTTCCGAGCTGAACTTACGGAGAATCCCATTACTGGTTTTTTTTTGTTTTTGTTTTTGTTTTTTTATATACCCTTTTCTAGTTCCTTCCCATACAGAGTCTGAACTTCAAAAAAGCTTTATTTTCATGGTTTTTATGTTGTTCTAGCTGCCCAGTATGGTTGCCCAAGCCACAAATGGCTAACTAAAATTAATAAAGTTTAAGATGAGTTCTTCGCTAACATTCCAGATGCTCAGCCCCGTGGCTGCCACACTAAACCTCGGACTTCATAGTGTGCTTGCTGTGCTCTAGCTTCCACGCGAACTCTGGAGTCGGTGAACAGCTCCTGAGCATGTTTCATTTATTATTTAAAACGGCTCTGCAGGATATTTGTATTCTCATTTTACATTTGTAAAAGCTGAAACTTGGAGATTTGTCCCAAAGTACCTAGCTGCTAAGTAACCACACTAAAAATCAAACCCAATTCAACACATTTCATAGGTCATACCTTCCTGTCATTGTCACATTACCATCCAGTGCATGCCTCCATTCAGAATTGGTGTTGAATGTTTTAACAGTGTAATCTTAAATCATTATGTTACTGTAGTAGAACTCTGTGAATCTTATTCTTTGGAATGGCAAAAAAAAAAAAAGCATATACTTGGACTATTTGATATTTTTTTCCCTTATTCCTCCTGTTTGTCAATATATGCCAAAGCCAAAGCCGACTTGCCTATTAAATCCCACTGAAAAGGAAAAGGTCACACCAGTAGCCCCTTTGAGCTGTCTGATAAGCTGTGAGTAAGGGAGCTTGAACCTAAATCCTTCCTCCTATTTAATCTTGTCTTTAATATGTTAATTTTTCTTTAATATTTTTATTTACAAAACTGCAGTTTAAGCAAGAGTTGCAACATAAAGGCCAAGCCCAGCCTGATCTGCTGCTGCATGGACAGCTCACGTTGTCACAATCCAGCTGCCATTACAGTTTCTTGCTTTGAAGCCAACTAGGTTTGTTGTGTGTATGTATGTGTGTGTGCGCACACGCGCGCGCGCACCAGCCACATATATATGTATATATGCCTTCGGAGTCCAGCAAAAGAAGTCAAATCTCCCAGTACTGCCCAGTGGGGGTGCTGGGAACAGAACTCAAGTCCTTATTATATGGTTGCCTTTTTGAAAATTTACTATTTCTTGCACCTCAGTCTTTCTTAGAGTTCCATCTTCATTTTGATAAAAGGCCTGTAGTTCTTTTCACTGGTAAGAAAAATACCTGTCCTTTATTTGTCCTTGTTCAGGAATAATGACTTACGATCAGGAAATGAAATTGTACATTCTTGTTACACCTTCATTTGAGTGGTGTGTATCACTGCCCTCTGCTTGTTAACAAGAAGTTTGTTTTTATTAATCTGCTTTTCTGAGTTTTGTTGTGGTTGAGGCGGTTTTCTCTATCGTATGGTCCTGCTCTATAATGTGTGTGTGTGTTTGTGTGTGTACACTGCATATAGAAGGCAGAGGTGGACATTACTGTCTTCTTAAGCCTCTCCATCTTATTGTTGAAGACAAGATCTTACAGAATTTAGAGCTCACCAGTTTGGCTAGCTTGCCACCAAGCTCCAAGGATCTGTTTGTATCTGTCCTTCCATGAGAGGCTGGAGTGAGAGGCAGGCACCTGGCTTTTCTGTAGAGTGCTGGAGAGCCAAATTAAGTCTGCTTGTGCAATAAAGTTCTCCACTGACTAAGCTTCACCCAGACCCCTAGATTTGATTTTTAACATATTGGATTTTGCTAAAAGTGTGAATATATGTCATTTCATCCATTTTAGAACATTTAAACACGACTTTAAGTTATTGCCTCCTGTGTTCTCTCTTCCCCTGGAAGAGCTGGTAGATCTCCCATCTGCTCTTCAAGCCTGTCTTTTTTATGGCCCATGTCTTAGGCAGCTTGAGTCTGTCTTTGCGCCTCTTGCTTTATTCGTGGGACACACTGTGTTGACCTGGTTGTGCTTCCTTGCTATAGTTTATCATCTATTTTGTACCTGCTTTCCACCAGCCCCTGCATTCTTTGTTTCTTGTCCATTTTTGGAGTGTCCCATGAGCTGTCAATTGTGGATGTGCTACTGTGGAGTGCTTTAGAGTAGATCCCAAAATAATGCCTGTGTGTAAGGTTTGTTAATCATATTTTTTAAAGATAATACATGCCCAAGGCTAAAAACTAAAGGATTTACAGTAAAAAGTAAGGTTCCGCCCAAGAGCCCCCTCGTGTGGCTCTGCAGTGGGAATGGATCAGTCGTGGTGCTGCGGAGCTGTGCTGTGCAGGTCAAAC